TAAGGAATATCACAGTTTGAGCTCAGCCCAGGTAAAAGATTGCTAGACTTCCTTTCAACCGGTGTGGTGGCATGTGTTTGTCATTCCAGCTATGTGAGGAGCAAAATAGAAGGATTTCCATTCAGGGCAATCCAGACAAATTGCAAAACTCTACTTGCTTAAATACATAAAGCACAAAAAGATATCGGGTGCCATTCAAGGAACAAAGTGCCAGCCTAGTGAGTGTGAATCCCTGAGTTAAAATCCCCAGTAGTCAGAAAAAGAAAACAATTTCTTAACCATAAACCTACAGTTCTCCAATAAGCGGAAACATTTAGTAAAATCATCAAAATCAAAATGGATAAAAAGTAGCTCTCTCCATCTAATCTTGCTGTCTTGCCCAAATACTTAGTGCAGTGTGGGAATTGATCAAGTATATCTTAAGGAAAGATACTTTTCCTCGTGTTGGTGAGGCCATGTTTGAGATAATTACCCCTGTGAGCATACTTTTTTTCCAAAGAAAACTATGTCAAAATAGACACCTGTCTTGAACAAAACATCTAGTAGAGCCTATCCTTTGTTTAAATGGATGTTCATCTATGCCATAATGACCTGAAATTAATATGTTTGAAAATTACTTTGAATGACATCTCCTACTCAGTACTCAAAGGCCAGCTAGAAGCCTCCTCCCTTTTGTTCAATTTTTGACATATCTGGGCCCAATTGATAAAAGTGTTAACAACAAAACTACGTTATAGGCGTCAGATATTGGAGAGCACTATCCTAAGGTGAATTTGTGAACAACCTCCAAACCATATTTTCACCATAAATACTCCACTGGCTGCATGTGTTTTTAGGTTGTTCCCACACTCATCTCTGGGTTGTATACTATTCTCTCTTTGCTTTAGTAATAAACTTTTTTTGGTCTCTACCTCCATGTATCCTAAAATTAGTTTTAATTATCTCACCAACTCAGTACTCAGGGACCAGGAAAAAGCCACTTCCCTTGTATTTACTTTTTAATTTTGTGTTTGTGACACTACTAGGGCTTGAACCCAGGGTCTGGGCTTGAACTTAGGATCAAGGCTGGCACTCTATATCATTTAAGTCACACCTCCAGTCTGGCTCTTCAGTGGTTTAGTTGGAGATAAGAGACTCACAGACTTTCCTGAGTGGGTTGGTTTTGAATAGTGATCCTCAGATGTCAGCCTCCTGAATAGGTAGAATTAGAGACCAGATACATTCTACCGGCACCTCCTATTTTAGAGACCACCTTTCTGGAACCTCACCCATTTTGGTGGTTTGAGTCTCTGCTTCTGGGAGCCCAGGGGAATAAGAGGAGGGCAATAGGCACCTGCAGAGTGCAGCCACAAGGCTGTGGGGCCCACTCACCTTAGCGGCTCGGCAGGAGGCGCTAGAGCGGACACCAGTCCGGTCCCGCGCTTAGCGGTTCAGCTGGTTGGAGAGGTCGGGCTCCGGGCTCTCCGGTCCCGCCTGGCGACCTCGCCTGGGGTCCTCGCCCGGGTTGGGGCGGGCGGCAGCGGCGCCCCGGCATGGCCTCGGCGGGCAGCGGCATGGAGGAGGTGCGCGTGTCGGTGCTGACCCCGCTGAAGCTGGTCGGGCTGGTGTGCATCTTCCTGGCGCTGTGTCTGGACCTGGGAGCCGTGCTGAGTCCGGCCTGGGTCACGGCCGACCACCAGTACTACCTGTCCTTGTGGGAGTCCTGCCGGAAGCCCGCCAGCTTGGACATCTGGCACTGCGAGTCCACGCTCAGCAGCGGTGAGGGCCTCGTGCGACGCGACCCCTCCTCCCGCCCGGGCTGCCCCGCGCCCCTCCGCCCGGGCGGCGCCTCCTCCCGCCCGGGCTGCCCCGCTCCCATGCGCCCGGACGGCGCCTCCTCCCGCCCGGGCTGCCCCGCGCCCCGGCGCCCGGATGGCGCCTCCTCCCCGCGGCCACTGCGGCCCCTGGGGCTGCAGCCTTGCCATCGCGTGCGCCTCTCCGGTCCCCTGCCCTGCCTTCCGGGTTTCGGATCCTCAGCAAACCCAAAGCCACAGCCCCTGCCCTCGCCCGGCCCCCCGGCCATTCCTCCCGCTCTGGAGTAACGCGTAGGCTATTTGGGGAAATTGTTATCTTTTCAGGCGAGAACCACGTGGCTGAGTAAAATAATGCAACGCCTTCCACTCCCCCGTGGAAAGAAGAAACGGGCAGAACCGCCCCAACTCCACGCAGATGTGTGGGGTCTCCGCTGCCCTTTCAAAGAGGAATTTGCCTGCGGTTACCTCTCAGGGCCCACGTTTCTGCCCGCTTTACTCCACCATATCTGGGTTTTCCCCAACGAATTTCCATTAGGACTAGGATTTTATTTCCTTATTTTTGGGGGGAGGGAGGGGGTGTATGGAGATCTGGGAGAGAGATTGTTTCCCTTTTCTTGTTCTTTGTCATTTTTTTCCGTGACATCATCCTTGGTTCTGAGTATACCCTTCTTTCTCTCCCACAATAAGAAACTTGGCCTTGCCATCGTTCTCTTCCCTAGCCCTAGCTAGCTACTCACATTCCTTTTGCCAGCACTGAAAGCCGCCAATGGTTCTACACTGTGTGATATGGAGATGGAGGGGGGGGAGGGCGGTCACAGTTGATACCTGCATTTTAGATCCTTGAGTAGAAACAAAATCCTATCAAGTGCAATACTGAAGGATTGTCCAGATTGGACAGGGACCAGCTAGGATTGTAGAATTAAATGATATTGTATTATGAAGTTAGCTGATTTGGGGGGAGGGGGGTGGGGAGACCAGTCGTGGGGCCTGAACTAACTCTGGGCCTGGGCGCTGTCTCTCAGCTCTCCAGCTCAAGGCTAGAGCTCTACCCCTTGAGCCACAGGGCCATTTCCAGCTTTTTTCTTTTTGCTTATGTGGTTCTGAGGAATCGAACCCCAGGCCTCATGCATGCGAGGCAAGCGCTCTACCACTGAGCCACCTTCCCAGCCCTGAAGTTAGCTGATTTTGATCATAGACAATAGTTAACAAAAAGAATACCTCCTTTCAGTCGATACACACTGAAGTACATGGGGAGAAAGAAAAATGATAATAAATATGACACAATGTAGTTAGGGTGGATATGGATAAAAAACTTGTTGAGCTTTTTGGTGCTATTCTTGTAACTTTTCTGTGCGTTTTAAATAAAATCTTAATTTAAAATTTACTGGTATAAATTGTTTTAGCACAATGCACTCAAACAAAGAGTTGTCTTTCTTGTAAAGGAGAAATGAAATAGAATGAAAGTGATTCGCTTTGTAAAAATCACAAATTTTCTAAAATTTATATTTCTCTAAAAGTACGCCATGAAAAACCAAAGTTAATGTTTTAAATACATTAACAATACTGTATTCTATACATTCTACAATATTTAGTACAAGTGGTTAAGGCTCTAAATAACAGGTAAAATTAACAAATACTTTTTTAATCTACTTAGAATACATAATAGCTTGATTATCTTAGGAATATGGCTATTTAACACAAAGTCACTTATGTTAAACAAACCTGTACATTCACCCAGATATTAACATAATACCAGGAGAATCAATTTACACTGAGACACAAGCTATATCTGATTATATATCTGTTGTCACTCATTTTAGCACCTGATGTTATTTTTGTGGTGCCCAGGACTGGATCTTTATACAATGGCTACCTTTGGTACAATTTCCAACTGGGCTGAAACTTTAAGAGTATCACTTCTAGCTTTTTGCTGGTTAGTTGGAGATGAGTCTCATGTACCTTTTCTACTCAAGCTGGCTTCAAACCATGATCCTCAGATCTCAGCCTCCTGAATACATAAGATTACAGGCCTGAGCCATCAGTGCCTAGTACAAAAGTAAATTTTAACTGATAGCAATGCACACACTTTGGGAATACCTGCTTTAGATATATACCCAAAAGGTAGGCAAACCTGTGAAAATGTTTTCACATGCCAGTATATTTTTTTCTTTATTTTGAAATAACGGAAAATTAATTCAAGCCAGTTTCTCTGGCTTCTTCAAAGGTATAAACTATCTTTTTACACTGTGTTCAATATTGCCCTGTCTGATTTTTTCCAAAAAATAAAACCATTGGTAACATTTTAATACTGAATTGCCTTTTCCCCCATAAGGAAAACTAAAAAGAGATATAATAATAAACATAACATGTAATTAAAAATCACATTGGGAAGTTAATATACAAGAAGAAAGCTGCTAAATGCTCTTCAGAAAACATAACTTTCTAAACCTTTTGTCAGTTAAGTCAGCAGTGAAGCAACACTTAGCTCCAAACCAGGGCATCTGCCAGCTTACTCATCATGTCACCATGTCCTCTCAGTCAAAGTTGCTCTGGGCAAAGGCAGGCAGTGACATACTTAAAAGGCACCACCATCTCAATCTCCTCCTCTTCTCCCTCCCCTCCTCCCCCTCCTCCCACTCTTTGTTTGCCCCTTCCTCCCCTCTTTCTCCTCCTTTCCCTTTCCCCCTCCTGCTCCCCCTCTTCCCCATCTTCTTCCACCCTTCCTCCCTACTCCCTCCTCTTCCTCCTCCCCCTTCTCCTTGCCTCCTCCCCTCCTCCTCTTCCTCCTCCCTCCTCCTCCTCCTCTTCCTCCTCCTCCTTTTTACTGTGTGTGGTGCTAGAAATCAAAACCATCTGTCATTGTGTTCTGACCTAACAATGTTCTTATAAAAGAGTTCTCTTTCTCCCTCTTTTTTCTCTCCCTCTCCTTCCTATCCTACCTCTGTATATATACAAAATCTCCAGTATATGGCTGGATAAAATAATGAGCTACAAGTTAATGGGGTTTGAATGTGAGAAGACCCCTGGATACTCATACTTTAAAGGTGAGAATAAGTCAAGAACACACTGATTTTGTTCATAATCAAATATCTTTACCAAATAGACAAGTCAAACAGGAAAATAATAGTAAATGTGATATAAAGGCTCTGTTATTGACTGTCCAGGTGGCTCAGGGTAAATCTTGGTAGTCTTGGAGACAGTCTCTGGTTACTTCTCTTTCTTCCTGAGGGACAGCTGGCTGAAGAGGTATTGAACTAGGGTGTCTCCAAGAGCCCACATGTTGCGCAGATTAGTCAGGATACTGTGTAATTCCTCGATGGTGTCCATCTGCTGTTGAAGGCAATGATGCTTCAAGAATTCACTGAGTTCTGTATCTCTTTTTCTGGCAGCCAGATGATATAGCTCCAGGAGGCTCTGTGTGATGGTCATTTCTAGATTAAAGGCATATTCCATCACCTGGAAGCCACCATGCCAGTTGTGGTATCCAGACATGTCAATTTGGTTCAGCGAGATGTGGCTGTCACGCTGGTTCTGTATCCACAAGAGTTTCTCGGCATGCTGGGTCCACTTGTGCGACTGCCACAAGAAGAACCGTGAAAAGTGGCCCAAAGCCACCTCCTCTCGATCACAGTAAAATGCCATAGAGAGGTACATGTAGGCTGCATACAGTTGTAAGTGAATCTGGTTGTTGATTGCAGCTTCACATTCTTGGCAGTAGTTGTTCTGAACCTGAGAAGCCATCACCATGGCCATTGCGGGTGGGAATGGAATAGCCAATAATGTCGGCAACATAGAAAAGGTAAGTGATCTGCGGAGCAGGCAGTGGTGGCGCTGACGGCGCCTGGGCCCTCTTGGGAAGCCCATGGCTAGTGAGTGAAGGACCATGGAGTCGAACGTGTGCTCCTGGCAGAGAGGTTTGAGTTATTGAAGTAAAGGTGGTAACCTAGCAACAATTCCATTGAGGGAGGGGTCAGGAATGTAATTAGTTCCAGAAATTTACTAGGTCACAATCTTTTTTTTTTGGAGGGGGGGGTCCGGTCGTGGGGCCTGAACTCTGGGCCTGGGCGCTGTCCCCCAGCTCTTCAGCTCAATGCTAGCACTCTACCACTTGAGCCACAGCGCCACTTCCGGCTTTTTTCTTTTTTCTTATGTGGTGCTGAGGAATCGAACCCAGGGCCTCAGGCATGCAAGGCAAGTGCTCTACCACTGAGCCACCTTCCCAGCCCTAGGTCACAATCTTGACTGACCTATGGGGGGTTTCTTACTTTTGGGGGAGTGAATTGATGATTGTGGTTGTTTTTAGTGCTGGTCTTGTGGTTTGAACCTGGGTGCTGTCCCTGAGCTTTTTTGCTGAAGGTTAATTAGTGCTTTATCACTTGAGCTACAGCTCTACTTCCAACTTTTTGGTCTTTAATTGGAGATAAAGAGTTTCGTGTATTTTTTTTTTTTTAACTCAAACTGGATTAGAACAGTGATCCTCAGGGCTCAGCGTCCTGAGTGCCTAGGATTCAAGGTGTGGGCCATCAGCTCGCAGTCCCTATATAATATTTTTAAAAGTCATTTATGAATAAATACTAACTTTTTGAGTTTGTCACCTGTTTCTTTAAGGAATTTGTTTGAATATTTCCCAAATATGATTTCACTAAAGGCAGTGCTTATTTGCGATGTTTCATGCAGCTTTATTTGAATGCCAGCTCTTTCTAGTGAGTTCATCTATATTACTAGCCCTACTGAGGGAGGAGTCAGAGGTCACAATGCGAGTGCTGAATTTCATCAACAACCCAAGCCACTCCACACTGCTCTCTTGATTTTTTTTATTGTAAAAATACTGTACAGAGGGGTTACAATTACATAGGCAAGATAATGAGTACATTTCTTCTCAAGCATTGTAGCCTCCTCCTTTGTTTCCCCTTCTCATTCCTTCCCATCCTCCTCCTGCCCCCCCCCACCCAATCCTCCTCCCCCCCCCACCGAATTTGTAAAGTTCATTTTTCCACGTAACGACTTGTACATCTCATTGTTGCAATGGATCCACCTGTATCCCTATTTAAATGATTTGTTTATTCCCTTCCCCTCTACAAATTATACCAACCTCAAATACAGTGAAAGCAGGGGTTATACCATGGGGGATCTCTTGATTTTTATATTTTTAAAGTTATATGTGAATACAAGCATCAGCTTCCTTCTGTAAACGATTTCTGACAGAAACATGCTTTAGCTACATTCCTAAGGAAGGTACTATTGACCATATGAATGTACACTTCAACTTCCTCAGTAATTTCACAGTAATCCTTATTTCTATTTTTATTCTTTAATTACATTTCATTCTATGAACCATATCAGTAGTAATATACACAATCCTTAATCAGTTTTGTAAATATATACATATGTGTATTTATTGATTAATATGAAAATTAGGCTAATACTGCACTTAGCTCATTGACTAACAATAATATATAATAACTATTTGCAAAAGGTTGTCCTTAACAAGGTTATCTACTCATATGAAAGCTTATTTTAGCTTTTTTAAGTTTAGACTTACACAATAGTTCTAAATATACTAGATAGTTCTAGAATATACTATAAATTTTATTCCCTGCCTTTTCATATTTAGCTGACTCCTGATATCTCTTCTTATTCAATTTCTGGTGAACGTATTAGTTAAGGTAGCTCTAAAATAGGAATATCGGGGCTGGGAAGGTGGCTCAGTGGTAGAACACTTGCCTTGCATGCATGAGGCCCTGGATTTGATTCCTCAGCACCACATAAGCAAAAAGAAAAAAGCCAGAAGTAGCGCTGTGGCTCAAGTGGTAGAGTGCTAGCCTTGAGCTGAAGAGCTGAGGGACAGCGCCCAGGCCCAGAGTTCAGGCCCCATGACTGGACCCCCCCCCCCAAAAAAATAAAATAAAATAGGAATATCTTTTTTTTTTTGCCAGTTCTGGAGTTTGAACTCTGGGCCCGAGCACTGTCTCACTTAAGTCACACTGCAATTTCCAGCTTGTTCTGAATAGTTTTTTGGAGATAACAGTCTCATGGACTTTCTTGCCCAGGCTAGCTTCAAACCATGATCTTCAGATCTCAGCCTCCTGAGTTGCTAGGATAACAGATGTGAGCCACAGGCACCCAGCTAAAATATGAATATCTATAAAAATCAATACTTCATCCAGGAGCAGGTGGTTCATGCCTGTAATCCTAGGTAGTCAGCAGACTGAGCTGAGGATCTCAATTCAAAGCTGACCTAGCAGGGAAATCTGTGAGTCTCATCTCCAATTAACCACCAAAAACAATAAAAGCCAAAATGGAGCTGTGGCTCAAATGGTAAAGCTGTAGCCTTGAGTACAAAAAGTTCAGGGATAGTACCCAGGCCCTGAGTTCAAGCCCTAGGGCCGGCACACAAAGAAGGAACCAGTAAGCCTAAGATTCATCCACAAAAGGGACTAAACTTCAAAAAGTAGCTTAACAAAGATTTATATAGATATTTATTATATTATTTCCCTGAATCATTACATGATTTCAAATATGTTTGTACCTTCTCTCTTAAAAAAATCAAATTCAGGTTCCTAAGTTATGTCTACTTGTTATATTTCAGGCCTTTCTTTCTTCCTTCCTTCCTTTCTTTCTTTCTTTCTTTTCTTTCCTTCTCTTTCTCTTTCTCTTTCTGTCTTCCCTTCTTTCTTTCCTTCTTCCTTACTTTCTTTCTTTTTGTTGGTCGTGGGGCTTCAACTCTGGGTCTGGGTGCTGTCCCTCAGTTCTTCAGCTCAAGGCTAGCGCTCTATCACTTTATTCACAACACCATTTCCAGTTTTCTGTTGATTTATTGGAGATAAGAGTCTCCTGGACTTTCCTGCCTTGGCTAGATTTCAACTACGATCCTCAGATCTCAGCCTCCTGAGTAACTAGGATTGCAGATGTAAGCCACCAGCACCCAAGTCATTTCTTTTTTTTTTTTTTTTTTTTTTAACCCATTGTAGAGTTTGAACTCTGGGCTTAGGTGCTGTCCCTGAGTTGTTAATTGGAGATAAGATTCTCAAGGACTTTCTTGCTTGGGCTGGCTTCAAACTACTATCTTCAGATCTCAGCCTCCTGAATAGCTACAATTACCTGACTTTATTTTTCTAAAATGCATGAATTTGATGCCAGTTATTTAATAAGATATCTTTTGTTAAGACAATCTCAATAGATCAAATATTACTCCTTTTGTGTATGTGTGTGTATGTGCATGGGTTAACACATAATTTCTCAAAAGATAACATATTTTAAATGGATTAGTTTTTGCCCCTAAACAAAAAATGTCTTTTTTTCCTTTCTATTCATTTGTTTTCTGATTTCTTTCTTTCTCTCTCTATTCCTTCCTTCCTTCCTTCCTTACTTTTTTCTTTCTTTCTAACCTGGTCTCACTATGTAGGCTATGTTTAAACTTGCAATCCTCCTGACTCCTAAATGCTAAGAATATAGGCATGTGCCAGCACTCATCCGTCAGCAGCTCTCATTTGTCAAATACATTTTTTCATAAGTAACAGCTAAAATTGATTGTGATACAGTTGGAGACTATCACATTGTACTAATGTCATCAAAAGCCTTTCTCCACTTGGTTTCTTTCCTTTCTACCTTTGCAATAACATTCTTCCTGCTCTCCCTTTCTCTCCCTTAGCTTTTTAACAATGACTGAAAGTGTTTAAAAGAGAAAAGATGTCTTTGATTCAGAATTTCAGAGTTTCAGCCCATGATCAGCTTGGTGAGGCAGAACATCAAGCTGGTGCAATGCTGCTCATCTCATGGCAGCTGGAAAGCAGAAAATGAGACAAAAGAGTTGGGGAAAAGTTACTGCTCCCAAGGAGATATCCCCATTGACCTGCTTCCTCTATAAACCTCTACCAACTAAAGTTTCCAGCCCCTCCCAAAACAGCACCCCTAGCTGGGGACCGAGAACAAAGTCATCCTTTAATTCTTACCAATATGTGTTTATGTTTGATCATACAGTTTCCATTGTATAGATGAGAAGACAAACTCCATGAAATGCAATGTTGCATAACCCAAAAGTGGAAAAGCATTTCTGACTCCATATATGCTAACGTCCCTGTGAAAGGTACGTGTTAATTAATGAACTATTGCAATGAGGAAAGTATAGTTTATTTGTTCTACTTTTCGTGAGACAGAATACTTAAATCTGTTACTCGATTCCAGTGAATTACTTCTGTTTGATTTACTTGATTTTAAAAAAAAGATAAATTCATTAATATATGCACTGAAATAAAATTTGAGTGCCTATTTTTCTTTAACTGAGCTAATTTTTATTAAGATGCAACAATATAAGCAGAGTATTAGCAGACAAAATAGCACATGTATTGTTGAAAGTAAATGAAACATTGTTCCTTTGGGATGTGGTTACAGTAAAAAAGATGAGAAAAGTATATGTGAATAGTTAACCCTATCAGCCTGGCACAAATAGGAATAGTGATATCCCCGCAAAGGGAAAAGGAGAGGATGTTCACCACCAAGGACCATTGGAGTTTTCACACCAATGCTGACCCATGCTAGTAGAGCTGCTCTGAGTTCATGTTGCTAAGAGATGGTATTGGCATTCTATCACCTTCACCCCAGATTCATTACATACCCCACCAAAACTGATTCCATTACTGTCACCAACATACCCAGATCCCAGATCTTAATGCTGTCAATGTTCTATTTATTCCTCTACCGTAGAAACCAATCCTTGCCATAAGTGTGCATGATTAGAAACTAAAAACTCCTTCTGCCTATGCCTATTCCACAGACACCAGCATAAGTCCTATGTCCACTCACTCCTTGTGGCCCAGACCCAGAGGAATCCCTTAGATTTTTTCTTGTGGACTCCAGAAGGGCTTCTGCTATTAGAAACAAACAATAGTGCTGGACAACAAAGTTTTTAGCACTTTGGACTGATGTTCTCTGATGACAGACTTTCCTGGAGCCCTCAACACTACTCACACTAAGATTTCAAAAATGGAGTTGATCAAGAAGTAAAATGCAGAACATCTGAAGTTATGCAAAGGGTTACAAAAATAACAAAAAAAGAAAATCAGTGACAACCTTCCTGGAGTCATAGAAAAGAGAAAAAAAATATAAAAAGCTTATTTCTTTTAAGAAATAATGCCAAAAAATTTCAGCAAGTCTAAGAGATAAACCATCTTCCAAATTATCAATTTAGCAACTTCAAAAATACCAAACCACAATCTAACTAAAAGAATAGACCAAAAATTGGGGAGAGCCATTGCCAGTGGCTCATGCCTATAATCCTAGCTACTCAGGAGGCTGAGAAGCCAGCTCAGGCAGGAAAGTTATAAGACTTTTAACTCAAACTATCAAAAAAATCTAGAAGTGGAATTTTGACTCAAATGGTAGCATGCTAGCCTTGAGCATAGAGGCCCAGGGACAAAGCCTAGGCCCTGAGTTCAAGCCCCAGGACCAACATAACAAATGGTGGGAGATAACCTTTCCCCCCAAAATATTTTTAAACTCACAAACACAGACCTAGATTGCATGAAATTCTCAAGGGATTTTGTCACATTGAAATAAACATTCCAGGAAGTGGCACTGTGGCTCAAGCGGTAGGGCGCTCACCTTGAGCTGAGACAAGCACCCAAGCCCAGAGTTCAAGCCCCACAATCGACCAAAAAGAAAAAAAAAAAGAAAACATTCCAAATAGCAACATAAAACATGCCACTAGCAAAGGCAAGTATAAAGACAAACAGATGAATGTAATACTTAAATGATGATGAGTTAATCAGTGTTAACTATAGCATAAATTTGAAAAGATAAAAATTTTAATAATTTTGCCAGACACCAATGGCTCATGCCTGTAACCCTAGCCACTCTGGAGGATGAGATCTGAGGATCACGGTTCAAAGCCAACTGGGACAGGAAAGTACATGAGACTTTTCAATTAACCACCAGAAAACTGGAAGTGGCGCTGTGGCTCAAGCTGTAGAACACTAGCCTTGAGCTGAAGAGCTCAGGAATAGTAACCAGGCCCAGAGTTCAAGCCCACAACAGACAAAAAATATAATTTTTACACAATAGGGAAAGAAGCAAGCTCTGGGGTACAAGGACACAAGTAGTAGTGGGAGTTACAAAACTGATATTTAGTTTAAGTAGTTATTTAAAATAGATACTTATGCTTATGACATGTCTCTAATTTCTTTCTGAATATTCAGCACTCTCACCAACCCACTGTGGTGACCTACTCTGACCTTGTAGCACCGCTCATTGTGTCTCAACGATAAGCAGTGACCTCTTTCAGACACTGGGCATTGTCTATAGTGAACACAAACTGCCTGATTTGGGGTTCATATGTGTTTGGTTTGGCTGGCAGGGGTTTTAAGATTCAGCAAATATTTTAATTGGGAGATTTAACATTTTAAAAATGAATATTTCCTTTGAAAACCAGAAGATTGAGCAATCCTTGGCTTGCATTCCCACATGATAGTGATTGGCTGGAGGTAAGTCATAGCTTTCCCCTATAGATGCTTTCCATCTTCGTGGCTTGCCTTATTCATTTTTATTACCTCCTTAGTCCCTGGGTAGATTTGAGTTTGCAGTTTGTACTCAAAGATTAGGACAACTTCTGGGATGGTATTTTAACTGATTGCTTTGGACACCCCCACTTCAATTTATTGAGGTATAATTGATAAGTAAAATATGTATCTATAAAATGTGCAACTTTAGAATGACAGTAAACCAAAAATAAGAATAGCCATAAAATTTTACCATTTGAGACATACTATAATATTCTGAATTTGGTATTTCTGTATATTGTTGAAAGTTCTTTTAAATGTCCAGTTCTTCATCATACTTAACTGTGTATTTTTATTTTCCTGGTAAACTATATAAGTTGATGCTCCACCAGAAAAAATTACATTGCATATACGGTTGTGCAGTTGTACTGTAGCATTAGTGTGGCCTTGTTTGTGGTCTATTGGATAAATGCCCAGGAGTAGAATTGCTGGGTCATAAGGAGGCTCTGGGTTTAGTCTTTTGAGGACCCTCTATACTGCTTTCCAGAGTGGTTGAACAAGTTCACATTCCCACCAACAGTGTAGTGGAGTTCTGTTTTGGTTATATCCCCACCAGCATCTGTTATTGTTAGCTTTCTTGATAATAGCCATTCTAAATGAGATAAAGTGAAATCTCAGTGTTGTTTTGATTTGTGTTTCTTTTATGGCCAGAGATGTCCAACATCTCTTCATGCGTCTATTATCCATTCTTTCTTCTTCTTTGAAGTCTCTAAATCTGTTCCAAGCTTCAGGGAATTTAATCGTAAATGTATAAATGTGCATTCCCTATCCATTCCTAACTTTGTGGGATCTCTAAATTGTAATTCCAGAGTGAAAATACCTTGAAATAGGAGAGAACTTGGCTTTAGGGTTATCTGTTTTAAACTCAGTGCTTTAAAAGATATTCCTTTTCAGATATATATTGTTATTTTCACTTTGATTTCCCCCTACTTCAGCTTTACTATTGCATTATTAAAAGGTTTGTGTCTGCTCAGGAATATTAGAAATCTGTGGCATACAAAGTGTTTTTTTTATGTTACTATAAAAGAATTAAATTAAAAATAAAATCCAGGAATATTCTCTAAACAAAGTATTCACTTTAATTTAAAGACATATACACTGCTTATCGAAGGGATAGGGAAAGATATTGCATGCAAATGATAACTGGAAGGTATCTGTTAAGGATGGCTATCCATAAAGTAAACAAAGTAGATTTTTAACTCTAAAATTGTCTCTAGAGACAGTCAAGGTCATTAGATATGAGTTAATTCAATAGCACAATTATCAATATATACACACTTAATATTAAAGCACCTAAACACATAAATATTGACAGATTGAAGATAGAAACTCACAATAAAACCAGTCACAGACTTCCAATATTCTACTTATAATAATGGAAAGAAATCCAAAGAGATAATAAAGGAAAAGGTGACTTGAACCATACTGCTAGTTAAGCAGGCACAACAGACATATAGAATTTTTGCAAAACAGCAAGATAATACAAATTATCTAGTGCATACAGGGCATTCTCCATATTAGGTCATAGAATAAGTCTTCATCGATTTAAGAAGTTTAAAATCACTAGAAATATCTTTGCTGAGTACAGTGAAATGAAACTTGGAATCAATATGGACATGAAGAATAGAAATTTATGGATATTAGAAGCTAAGCAACACACTTGAATAATTCTTGAATAAGAGTAAACCAAAAGGAGATTTGAAAAGTACGTCAAGGCAAGCAAAAAGTGAAAATGAAATGTAAAAAATAAATACAACAAAAATAGTAATAAGAGAAAAGTTTAATAATTGCTTATTCATGTTTAAAAGCATTGGGCATTGAATTATAGATATTGTCCACCAAAAATGTATACTTATGGTAGGAATCTCATCGTATATCCAGATAACCATTTAAAGTGAGAGCTGGAACTTGTCATCGTGACTAGAACACCATCTAGTCATCATCGTCATCATCTTCGTCGTCATCATCGTCATCCGCATATTTCAGTTCATGAGCTCTTACTACTCTCGGGATAGGAGTATTAACATCATGGTAATCCCATCCCTTCCTGAAGAAAAACTTCTCAAGGATAGCTGGCATACTGTAGCCTTTGCTCATTATGAAATCCTTGAATGCAATTGTTCCATAAAGTTCATCAATAATATCTGGGGGATAAGGTTTCTCAACGAAGGCCTTGGGGTCAATCAGAGGCTCATCATTTACTAGCTTTTTCCACAATTCAGGCCTCAGGTACCAAGCTCCATACCTTATCTTCACCCAGCGGGATTTATACGGATCAGGTGGCTTCCGGCGTCTTCTATCAAAGCTTGTTTCCTGGAGGGAGAATCTTATCTGCTTCACTCTGCTTAGTTTCCTGCAGTACCTGAGCTCCACAGGAATCAGGTTTACTTTCTTGATGCAGGAATCCGTATAAGTTGGTTTGCACTCAAACTCCACACCAAATTGATCTGTTACCATGTTTTCATTAATGTCCAAGTCTCCAAGACTCTGAACCCATTTGCAGAAATCATAGACTCCTTTGGGTATGTATCTCCGCATAGCAGCTTCAATCAACTCCTTCGAGATTCGCCTTTTCCTCATAGGCAAAAGATCTGGATGGCCACCAGGAACCCTGGGAGGTTCCAGGAGCATTTTCATGTCTTTAGAGAGTTTTGGTGACTTTAAGGATTTCTCTATTTCCATTCTTTTCTTGCCGTTCTCACAATAATCCCACGTACTCTCCAGTTTCCTTTCAGGGTCCAGCAATTCCAGCACCTCCAGTAAGAGCTCTTCAGATATGTTATCTTCCAAATTTGGGTAGAGAGCCAAGGGATGCTTCTGGCTTATTTGGGCTTCGATGGCTTTCACGAATGCCCTGCGTGCTTGCTGGGCTTGAGAGAGTGACGAATACAACGTTGCACTCTTGGGCATCTTCGTGGGATCCCTGGGCTGGTACATGCGACTAATCATCGGGAGAAAGGCCTCCTTGGATCCTGGAATTATCAGATCTTTACAGGATGGACAGCCTCTCCTGAAGTCATCTTGCCCTTTCTTCAGAAATAGCCATCTTCGGCCTTCCAGGGAAGAGGGAGCCCTGAGAATCTCCTCGTGGGTTATGACAACACATTTGGAAGAAGGCTTGTCATTGGGCCAACGCTTGTGGACTGTGCTTGGGGGCATTGGCCTTAGTACCCATGGCTGCAAGGAACATCTCCGAGTGTGTTCTGCCATACTGGCTTTCCATTAACTCGGTGGTTTGTTTCCCTGAAGCCACTGGGGTCGCTAGGAAACCCGTCCCTGGTCCTAACTGTCAGGAATTCTCTCCTGCTCCCTCTCCTGTATAGGCAGGTACTTGGAGATCCCCTCCCCCACCTTCCATGTTCATCCTGTAGCTACAACATATGCTTTATTTAGACTATTGCTTTTTTTGATAAACGTTTGGGTTGTTTCCTGGTTTGGCCTGTTACAGATAAATTTTCTATGAGCAGCTGTGTTCACATCTGTATCTGCATATATACTCATTTCTCTTGGGGAAACTTCAGCTAGGTGGGGTCAGGAGAGGCATGTTGAACATTTTTTAAACTACCATCAAACTTTTCATCACCAAAAATTCTCTAGTGCACAAATGCCAAAGTAAATGTCATTCCCCAACCATAGCCTGACATATGTTTTAAAGCCTGGTGCTGGAGGCTCACACCTGTAATCATAGTCACTGAAGAGGCTGAGATTTGAGGATCATGATTCAAAGCCAAATCAGGCAGAAAAGTCCCTCAGACTCTCATCTCCAATAAACTACCAGAAAACCAGATGTGGTGCTGTTGTTCAAGGTGATAGAGTGCTAGCCTAGAGCACAAGAGCTCAAGGATAGCACCCAGGCCCCGAGGTCAAGCTCCAAGGTCAGAAAAAAAAAGTCCGGTGCAAGTGGCTCAGGCCTATAATTCTAGGTACTCAGGAGGCTGAGATCTGAGGATTGTAGTTCAAAGCCATCCTATGCAGGAAAGTTCCTGAGACTCTTATCGCCAATTAATCACCAAAAATGCCAGAAGTGGATGTGGCTCAAATAGTAGAGCACTAGCCTGAAGCAAAATAGCTCAGGGACACTGCCCTGAGCTCTAGGACTGGGATAATTTTTTTTATCCATCTCATATTTTTAGGTTTCTACTTTGTGCCTGTCCTCTGTTTTCAAATTACAATTACAATTTAAATTATCATGTTTTTCTTAAAATGAAAATTATAGAATTTTTTTGCCTTTTTTGAACACTAGGGCTTGAACTCAGGGCCCTGGGCTTTCCCTAGTCTTTCTTATTCACCACTGGGCACTCTACCATTTGAACCAATTTCTCACCCAACTTTTTGCTAGTTCATTAGAGATGGAACCTCTCAGACTTTTTTTTTCAGGGTGGATTAAAACCATGACTCTCATTCTTAGTTTCTTAAGTATTAAGATTATAGGCATGGGCTACATCTGACTGGCCAAAAATAAAACAACAACAACAAACAAACAAACAAAAAATTTTAAAGCAAGAGGGAAGATCTAATATCTAAAGGTCATGCATTTATAATTTCTTTTTTTTGTCAGTCGTGAGGCCTGAACTCTGAGCCTGGATGCTGTCTCTCAGCTTTTCAGCTCAAGGCTAGTGCCCTACCTCTTGAGCCACAGTGCCACTTCCAGCTTTTTCTGCTTATGTGGCATTGAGGAATCAAATCCAAGTCCTCATGCTTGCAAGGCAAGCACTCTACCACTGAGCCACCTTCCCAGCCCTATAATTATATTTCTAAGTTCCTGATCCCCAAGGCAAAGCAAATACACGTATGTGGGAAGGAAACAAATGCATAAGCTTTGATTTTGGTGGGTTTTTTCCCTAGAGACCTTGAATATATGTTAACCCAGCATTGTTGCTAAAGTTTGGATCAGGACACCCTATCCCCTGTCCACCTTGGCAATTCTGCCCAGATTGTGATTTCTTTATGCAGTGATAAAAGGAAAAACTAGAGTGAATCTTGCAGATCCTGCATAAACCATCAGGTAAATATGCTTTCTGGTTTTGTCATTAGTATGCAGAGTGCATACAGTTTCACACATAGGGAAGTGCCAGGAATCCTCACTTAGAATCTTTATATATCTCTTTGCTAAAGTAATCTATATTGACATTTACAGATTTATTTTTAAATCTGAAAGAAGACAACAAATGCAAAAGTATAATTAGAATTTATATATGAAAAAGAATCAGTGCTGAAGTCACTAATTTTATTTCTGAGAATATAATTCAAAAAATACATGTTATTTAATCTTATTGCTATAGGAATTACACATGAGTTTACCCATTTGCACTGTGCATCTGAAAGCATTTTAAAAAGTAATTTCATTGGCTTGGTAGTTTAGGGAAGCAAATTAGTAACAATTCCAATTGCCAACTATGGCCTTCAAAAGATACTCACATAAAAATAGTATATAGTATAGAGGAGGAAAAAGGATAAAGAAAATTCCCCAGGACTAAAGAGAAATAAAGATGTAAAAATCTAGGGTATTATGTGGTGTTAGGTTAAATCAAAATACTGCTCTTACTTTAGTACATTTATTGCATTTATTATATCTTAGATCTCATGGTCAAGAAAGTCTTTGCACATAATAGCTTATAACTCACAGTGTTCCTTCTCTAGAGAGAAGTTAACAAGAAAGCCTTAAAAGTAAGCATTGCTTGACTTTGCAAGTACTTTCATCTCTTAAGTCTAGTCCAGTGCTCTTAATCTGATACCTTACCTCAAGGAGTATATAATCATAAAATGAAAAAAATCATTTGCTTTCTATTACCATAACCTACCTTCTAGTTTTTAATACTTATACCCCCTAACCATTATTCTTTATCTGGTTGGCTTCTCTTTTAGTCAATTGTTTCATAACATATCTGTGACAAATACCTAAGAAAACAACTTTAAAAAAAGAAAGATACATTTACCTCACAGTTAGAGGAGTCTCAGGCTATGATTGCCTCGTTTCGTTATTTGTGGGCCTGTGGTAAGGAAGAGCAAGCTGCTCATCTCATAGTGGCTAGGGAGGAGAGAGCGAAGGGGAGAGAAAATGGAAGGAAGGGTGAGAGTGGGAGATGGAGGAGACAGAGAGAAAGGGAGAGAGAAGGAGAGAGAGAGGGAGAGGGGGGCAGGAAGGGTCTATGTCCAATGTATACCTTCAAAGGTCTGCCTTGCCCTCAGCAAACCAATTCCTCCAGCTTGGTCTCACCTTCCACAGTAGCAGTTCTACTACTTCCTAATAATCTATTCACATTTTGAATCTATCAATAGCTTAACCTGCTGATTAAGCTGGAGCCATTATGATCTAATTGACTGTAGAAACACCCTGACAGATACTCCCAGGGGAGTGCTTTTCTAATCTACTCTTGATACAATCCTGTTGGCAATCAAGATTAAAAAGCACAGCTTCCTTTTAGCCTTTCTCAAATCTCTCCAATAGTTCCTTCATAATGACTTTATTGTGTATCTGTGCAGAACCAAGACCCTTCATGGTATGCTCCCTTTACTGAATTTCTGCATATGAAGAAAAAAAAAAACCAAGTTCTCAACTAGTTATTTCAAACACTTGCCAATTTACTCTTGACTTGCTTTTTAAAATTCTCTTTTTAATCCCTATGATTTAACCATGTTAATGAAACTAATTATTTCATTAAAAAAAATCATTAGCTGGGCACTGGTGGCTCATGCCTATAATCCTAGCTACTCAAGAAGCTGAGATCTGAGGATTGTGGTTCGAACCTAGCAGTGGCAGCAGTCCACGAGGCTCTTATCTCTAATTAATCACCAGAAAAATCGGAGTGTAGCTGTGGCTCAGGGACAGTGCCCAGGCCTTGTTTTCAAGCCCTATGACAGATAAAAATAATTATCTGTTAGCATTTGTACTAGGGAGGTACCATTTCATTTAACAAAGCAGTTTATGAATACAAAATATCTTGATCATTGTCACCCCCTTCACCATTCTCACTTCATTTCCACCCACTCCTTGGAAGTTAGTTATTTCTGAAGACATTCTCTTGCCATATACTTTCTGGGTCAAAGTCAAAACTGTTTCTAAACTTAGCTGCTAATTCCCCAATCCTTCACTGTCATATCTGACAAAGGAGTTTCCTTCTCCCTCCCTAACTTGCTCAATCCTGCAGAATCTACTTAGATCCCTGAAGTTGAAAGTTATTTCTACCTTTTCCCTATAACCCCATAATGCTTTGAATCTTTCTCACACAGCTCTTTGACTGTTCCTCTTCTTATTGTTTATTACCATTATCTGTAGATAATGTGTGCCTCTGGGGAAAAAGAACTGTGTCTCATCTATTCTCATGACCCTATGGTCATGATAATAGCATAATGTAAAAATAAGAATACAGCAAAGATACCACACAAGTAAAATTCAGAAGGAGGTATTTAACATTTTATTAGGTTTATATCAGCACTTACTTGTAAGACTCCATATGGAAATGGAAAACATGGTGGATAAAGCATATTTACTTTGGTGAGTATAATCATTAATATCAATATATGTCACTTAAAGTAACTTCTCCTAGTATTGTGTAATACATTCTTTAGTTTACTGGCCAAACATTCAGTTCTGTTTATTTTTAGAATACTTTCTATACCAAGGAATATGGGTCATAGAGAGTTTGCAAAGAATGCTGGTAGTACTCACATGAGAAAGGCATTTATCCACTAATAAGGATTCTGGTGCATGACCCAAACATCTTCCACTATTCTCCACCTCCCCACACTACTTCATTGGAGGATTAAATTTCCAACTCATGCACTCATACCATACCAAGAAGTAAGTTTCAGATAATTAAGGAAATTTCCAAAGGCCACACAGCATTGAGAAACTATGCTTTTAGATCCATTCATTATATTATCTTGAATATGCTGGGACAGTTATCTTATAATCTGAAGAATTGAAACAGAAAGAAAAATTCAAATGACCACATAAAGCTGGCTCCAAAATCAAGTTTGTGGATCAAAGCCAGAAGACACCTATATTTAGAATTTTGGTACAAGAGGGAAAAAAATCACATCTTTGGTTAAACTGCTATGAGACAGGTTTTATATTACTTGAATCATAAAATACTTCTGATGGACTCTTTCCTGTGAAAACTAGTCTTTCTTTTGGTACACATATGGACAAGACTTTGGAACTCTGGTTTTGCATCAGAGATCCAGTGTGGTCCAGCAAAGAAATTCTA